CTTTGTTTAAATAATGAAATTCTGAAGACCACTAGTTCGATTTTAATAGCGAATTCTATTCCAAAGAAATCTCAGCTAGGTATATTAACTAAATACTTGTGTGCATGTTAACCACCAAGCTTCGTATCTATGGTTTGCACATCGTCGACATGAAAGTGTCTGTCTGTCTGTCTGTCTGACTTTGGTGGCTACGCATCCGTGTGCAGCCCAACTTTCATAAACTTTACTCATTTATGTCAGTTCCACATTTGCAAATTCGTAAGGACATTAATATAGCATATAAGGTGAATCACATAATACACCAACAAATGGTGGGGTTCTATCGAGTCCAATATACCCGATGTTCTTATTTGCGATTAAAAGAACATGATTCCATACTCTACTGTGAAGACAAAATAACAATAGTTCTGAACAAATATTATAATAATGCACACATATTTATTCATAGAGAAATGTAAATATGTACAACAATGCTATATACATACTTTAACTGTCCATCGTACTCTTAATAGATGGTTTGATAACTTGGTTTGATAAGACGTCATCTCGTGATGTAATGTGTTCATTCTCTTAACCGTTTAAGTAAGTATGTCATGATAACAGCAAAGAATAACTGATAAAAACATGTCGATAAGGACGACAAAACACTTTGATGGCACTACACATTTATATATGTTATATACCAATAGTTGGTGCGATTTTATGTTCATGCTTTCCTAGTGTTTTACGCAAAAGCCTGAAATTTTGTTCTTGAAACCTGACAAACAAAAACGTATAACAATGCTCACTTATAAATAACAAACGTTGAATTATTTCAAAAGTTGACACCAAAATAAACACATGTTATGTTTCATTTGCCAGTTTCTTGGGTTTTACTCCGCTTATACATTAAAAGAAAAGTGTTATATAAATATTCATGTACGGAGGTGGCTCACAACATGGCATTTCATGAAACCATTTTTACAATTCATTACAATTTTTTTTAAACATCAATTTCGGTTCTGGAATCGATTTTTAAAACCCACTTTTGTTTCTGGGTTGTTTAAATTCGTTTTAATTTTTGAAATCCATTTTCGTTTTCAAATTCCATTTTCATTTTTAAAATCCATTTTCGTTTTTAAAATCTGTTTTCATTTTTAAAATGTATTTTCGTTTTCAAATTCCATTTTTATTTTTATAATCCATTTTCGGTTTCAAATTCTATTTTCATTTTTAAAATCCGTTTTCGTTTTCAAAATTCATTTCACTTTTTGACCTGTGACCTCGCTCTCTGACCTCATACCACTTGACTAGAAATTGTAACTCGGATTCTGGCAGTTTCCATGATAAGGCTTACTTACGTAAGTTCTTCTTCAGACTATATATTTGGCCGTGTTTCCACGGCGTTGTTGGATCTATAGAGGGTTCTTGGCTTCATCTGACAGTTTACGCTGTGGCGTCGAATGCCTGTACATACACCGAGAGCGCTGTCTTGTATACCGACAGTACTCTATCCGGAACGATAACACAGCAGACCCACGGCTATAACTTGTTCTAATCTGAGTCTAAACGTTACAGCTGGTAAAATGAATCGAAATGAGAATCTTAGTAAAAACAATTAAAAACAGTTAAAGTTAATAGCGGCGATAGGCGGGAAACAACAGCGATTTTTATCTAAACTCAAATTTGCTTCAACGTGAAAAATACGTATATACCTATACTTTAAATGTCAACAAAAATAAAAACAAAAACGGATTTAAAATAATAGATTTTAAAAATGGAAATGGTTTGAAAAAAGAAAGTGGATTTTAAAAATGAAAATGGATTTTTAAAACAAAAGTGGGTTTTTAAAACGAAAATGGATTTTGAAATTAAAAATGAATTTTAAAAACGAAAATGGATTTTGAAATAATAAATTGATTTATAAAATGAAAAAAACATATCAGAAAGCAAAGTGGGTTTTAAAAATCGATTTCAGAACCGAAAATGGTTATTGAAAAGAAATTACAAAATACAAAATGAATTGTAAAAATGGTTTTATAATATGCCAATTTGTGAGCCACCTCGGTTGCCGTATTCATGGCAACGTGTCAAAGTTTATCTACATATAATATCAATCACATGTTAACCTGAAAAGTCGCGGTTGGATAATCAGATTGTGTCAGATTGTGATTGTGTTCCTCAATGCACACAACCATTCACTTGCTATATATTATGGTAACTAGGCGCATGCATCATAACAAATTTTATTCTTATTTTGTGATATGTTTATATTATACAGAACTACGCTAGTCAGTGCCCATTCTCCTTTACAACTTAAGTGAGTAAAATTAAAATAGAATAATATGAGGTTATTCACAAAATATTTGTTAATACCGGT